AGAGGAAATCATTCCTGTCAGACTTGTTTTGAGGTTGAAATGGGATTTTGGATGTAAAATGCTTCTGTCCAGTACCTGCTAAACAAAATGCCTACTAATGGCTGGGCGCAGCGGCTCATGCCTGGAATCCCAGCACTTTGGGAGGCTGAGATAAGCAGATCACTTGAGGTCAGGAGTTCGAGACCATCCTGGCCAATATGGTGAAACCCCATCTCTACTAAAAATGCAAAATTATCCAGGCCTGGTGGCAAGTGCCTGTAACCCCAGCTATCCAGAGGCTGAGGTGTAAGAATCACTTGAACCCGGGAGGCAGAGGTTGCATGAGCTGAGATCTCAGCAGTGCACTTCAGCCTGGGTGGCAGAGCAAGAATCCGTCTCAAAAAAAAAAAACGCTTACTAAGTGGCAGTGGTAGCTGTGATACTATAGATGCTTCCCTATCCCTAGCCCATCTCCTGCTAAATAGGGGGACCCAAGATTCTGTAGCTCATGGCCCCAGAGCGCTGCTGGGCCTCCTGACCCTCTGTCTCCCCAGACAGCACCCAAGAAAACCTCATTTGGCTCGCTGAAGGATGAAGACCGGATATTCACGAACCTGTATGGCCGTCATGACTGGAGGTGAGACAGTGCCCTTAGCCTGCTGGGTCCCAGAGCAAGGCGTCCCCTTCACTGCCTTCCCTGCTCTGTCCAGGCTGAAAGGTGCCCTGAGTCGAGGTGACTGGTACAAGACAAAGGAGATCCTGTTGAAGGGGCCTGACTGGATCCTGGGCGAGATCAAGACATCGGGTTTGCGGGGCCGTGGAGGTGCTGGCTTTCCCACGGGCCTCAAGTGGAGCTTCATGAATAAGCCCTCAGATGGCAGGTGTGGGTGAGGGTGGGGCAGATGTGGCTGTGGGAGAGACCTTGTAGGTGGCTGAGGCTTCCCTGGGCCTTTGGGCTCTTTCCTCAGAGACATAGCATGAACGAGGTAGGCATATGTTCCCCAGGCCTTACGTGGATGGGACTTACTCTGTGGACTTCCACAGGGGAGACTTATGCAGCAGAATCCATGTATGATATTGACTCAGGCAGACTTAGTTCAAATCCTAGTTCTGCCTCCTAAACATAGAGCTTTGGGCAATTTCCCGGCCTTTGTGAACCTTAGGTTCCTTTTTGTAAATAGCACAGTAATATCATTCAAGAATTAAAGAGATAATGTTCCTACAGTTTTGGCCTATACGCTGGTTGGCACACAAAGCAAATGATAAACGTCACCTGCCTTACCTCCTTTTGGTTTTGGTGTTGGAGCTTGAGGAATACTCTTTGTCACCAAGAGAAGAATCTGGCTCTCAGGGGCAGACACAAGGAGAGATTTTTGAATGAGCTGAATGAAGACCTTTCTTGTGGTTGTAGCTGCCCAAAGAGGGAACAGGCAGTGAGCTCCCTGTCATTGGTGGGGAGCAAGCAGAGCCCTGGGACATGTTGGGAGGGCACGGAAGGATTGGCTGTCAGAGGAGACATCTTTGAGGCCTCCCTGGGTGGAGTGGGGTGGCATGGAGTTGAAGACTCAGTGCTGGTGGCCCCGTATCCTGTCTGACCTGTGGACCCTGCAGGCCCAAGTATCTGGTGGTGAACGCAGATGAGGGGGAGCCGGGCACCTGCAAAGACCGGGAGATAATGCGCCATGATCCTCACAAGCTGGTGGAAGGCTGCCTGGTGGGGGGCCGGGCCATGGGCGCCCGCGCTGCCTATATCTATATCCGAGGGGAGTTCTACAATGAGGCCTCCAATCTGCAGGTGAGCAGGAGAGACGTGGACAGATAAGGTGCTCAGTGTACACTCACGCCCCTCACCTGGCACAGTTCTTGGGTGTTAGCACCTGCATGCATCCCAAATGGGACTTGACTCCCAAAGCCGCCTTCCAGGGCTCCTAATGCTGCTGGTATAAAAAAATTTTTTTTTTTTGCTTCAAAAATACAGTATTTATTAAAATAACAAGTACAGTAGCAAGAAGAAAGAAACTAAATGGAACTATATGTTTAGGAAGAGAGCTGAATAATTATGAATATAAACAATTGCTATTTGAAGAAAATACATTATGTTCATTGCTTGGGACCATGAATAATATATCTGTAGGAAATATAGAAAAATATAATAGGTTAAGACAATAAGGGTATAGGCAATTACTTTTTTTTTTTTTTTTTTGGAGACAGTCTCACTCTGTTGCCCAGGCTGGAATGCAGTGGCGTGATCTCAGCTTACTGCAACCTCCACCTCCCTGGTTCAAGTGATTCCTTGCCTCGGCTTCCTGTGTAGCTGGAATTATAGGTGCTTGCCACCATGCCCAGCTAATTTTGCATTTTTAGTAGAGATGGGGTTTCACCAATGTTGGCCAGGCTGGTTTCACTCCTGACCTTAGGCAATCCACCTGCCTTGGACTCCCAAAGTGCTGGGATTATAGGAGTGAGCCACCGCACCTGGCCTACATTTTTATTTTTAATTTTATAAAGACTTATTTTTCCTTACAAACTGGGGTAGTTAGGAGACCTGATAATATCTACTTTGCTTTTATTTTCTTGGCATCAAAGCAGCTTACTTATGTGTTCTTTGCATGTCTGTTTCAGATCAGTCAAGTTTTTCATTTTGTTTTACTATTCATAGCAGGAGCATTAGGAGCCTCACCATGGGAGGCCTTCAAGGGCTTCATGACTCCTGAAGTTATAGGCTGGCTACTGGGCTGGGGTGGGCTGGGGAACTCACACCTTTGTCCTGCAGGTGGCCATCCGAGAGGCCTATGAGGCAGGTCTGATTGGCAAGAATGCCTGTGGCTCTGGCTATGATTTTGACGTGTTTGTGGTGCGCGGGGCTGGGGCCTACATCTGTGGAGAGGAGACAGCACTCATCGAGTCCATCGAGGGCAAGCAGGGCAAGCCCCGCCTGAAGCCCCCCTTCCCCGCAGACGTGGGTAAGGCCCGGCATGATCCTGGGTCACACTGTGTCCTGTGACACCCAGGATGTGGCTAGGCTCCCCGTGGGTTGTTCTTTAGGGATTCCTGAGTGCTTTCCGGACTGGGGCCAGATAGAGAGTAGGCTGGCCACAACACACAGGCTCCCCCAGGGCCGCCTGCAGTCCCTCCTGCCTCGGCACTGTCCGTGCTGCTCTGTGGCTCCACCTCCACAGGGCCTGTTCTGGGGCTAAGGGCGTGGTGGTGAGCGAGGCAGTGCGGCACCTCTGGAGCGTGGGGTCCAGCAGGGATAAGAATGATGAGGAGATATTGGAGCAGGGGCTCTGCCATGGGAGCAGGACCCTGGGACACACCCCCCTGCTAGGAAATCTGCGTCACCCCCAGCAGCCACCAGTTCTCTTCCCATTTCCCCGAAGGAGTGTTTGGCTGCCCCACAACTGTGGCCAACGTGGAGACAGTGGCAGTGTCCCCCACCATCTGCCGCCGTGGGGGTACCTGGTTTGCTGGCTTTGGCAGAGAGCGCAACTCAGGCACCAAACTATTCAACATCTCTGGCCACGTCAACCACCCTTGCACTGTGGAGGAGGAGATGTCGGTGCCCCTGAAGGAGCTGATTGAGAAGCATGCTGGTAAGGCCTGGGGCCAGTGAGGCGTGTGGGGGGCAGGGGAGCGCGGGTGTCCAGGAAGAGAGCCTGGGCGGGAGGGCTCAGGAGACGGGGCTGACGAAGGGACTGGGCTCAGGACTGGGCTCAGGACTAGGCAGGTGTGCCAGCTCCAGCACTGACCCCGTATCCCTTTGGGGACTGACTTGGGGCCCCAGGGGGTGTCACTGGTGGCTGGGACAACCTCCTTGCTGTGATCCCTGGTGGCTCGTCTACCCCACTGATCCCCAAGTCTGTGTGTGAGACTGTGCTGATGGACTTCGACGCACTGGTGCAAGCACAGACAGGCCTGGGCACAGCCGCGGTGATCGTCATGGACCGCTCGGTAAGGGCTCACACACCAGCCTGGTCCTTGCCATATGCCCTCCCTGGACCTCCCAGAAAACCCTCTTGCTAGCATTTAGGCCTCAGTTGCTGTAGGCTGAGATAGAAGCAAGGTGGGAGAGGAGGGAAGAAGGCTGCTCTGGGGAGAATGCCCCGGAGTCTGGGCAGCACAGGGGGCCAGGGAGGCTGGAGGAGGCCAGATGCTGGGTGGGCTGGGAAGAGCTTCTTGAACTGGGGGAGGGGCTGCTGCTAGGGGGCTGAGGCCCAGGCTTCTGTCTGGCCCTGGGTGCCTGCTGATTGCCCCTCATCACCCAGACGGACATCGTGAAAGCTATCGCCCGCCTCATTGAGTTCTATAAGCACGAGAGCTGTGGCCAGTGCACCCCATGCCGCGAGGGTGAGCATCGGGCAGGTTGGGGGGGTTTGCTTGCCGTGGCCTCACTTAACCTCCACCCCACCATGTGGCCCTCACCCCTCAAGTGCCGCCCCACATCCTGGCTAGGGAGACCATCAGGCCCTCTCTTGTGGCTGTGGCTGCAGGTGTGGACTGGATGAACAAGGTGATGGCTCGTTTTGTGAGGGGCAATGCCCAGCCAGCCGAGATCGACTCCCTGTGGGAGATTAGCAAGCAGATCGAAGGCCACACCATCTGCGCTCTGGGTGACGGGGCCGCCTGGCCTGTGCAGGTACTTGCTGCCCTTCTGCACAGCACGGAGGGTGGGTGGCGCCAGGGGCCCAGGGTGTTGGGGGATTTTTGGACTCTTGTTTCACTGTCTCCCTCCACCGACCCCAGGGTCTGATCCGCCACTTTCGGCCGGAGCTCGAGGAGCGGATGCAGCGGTTTGCCCAACAGCACCAGGCCCAGCAGACTGCCTGTTAGCCTGCCACCCTGGCCTGCTGTCCTGCGTCTGTCCGTCTGGAATGCTGGACAATAAAGCGAGTGCTGCCCACCCTCTGCTGCAGCTGCTGTGACTGTGCTCTTACCCGTTACCCAGCACAGGCTCTTCAAGGGTGGGAGGGGAGAACAGGGCCCAGTCTGGCTCATGGCCAGAGAAAGGACAGGCTCTCCTCTGGCTTGAAGGAGATGTTTATTTCGGCTCCATGATTAGAGTGAGGTGAATGTGAAAGCGGGGAGAAAGGAAACACCCTCTGACTGGAGGTTGGGCATGGTGGGCGAGGCAGCACCAGGCTCCACCATTTTTGTGGGGATGTTTCAGGCAGCCGTAGTGGAGGGCGGTAGGCAGGGCCCATGGGCTAGTCGCTGAGCTGGACAGGCCTGCTGTCCAGCAGGTGCCACAGCTCCAGGCGGTGGTCGCTGTGGCCCAGGCACTCAAGCCAGTGCCGCAGGCACTCCCCACTGGCATGACTGCCCAGCTGCACACCGCCTGCCATGGGGGATGGGTCAGAAGCTTCCAGGAGCCTACCAGGCCCCCACCCCAGCGCCTCACATTCCCACTCACCAATGAAGTCGTCAGCTGTGTCCAGGTCATAGTCCCACACAGACACCGGTAGCGTCTTCTGGGCCAGCTCTTCCCGTGGGCCTGAGTAGAAGAATTCCTGCAGGGAGAAGGGCAGAGAGGTAGGAGGGAGGTGGCCTCGGCTCTCGAACGGCTTAAGAATCAGGCCCCGGCAGGGGAGTGGGTCAGCATGTCAAGGCCAGGGTTGGCTGGAACCTGCCTGGCATGTGATTACCTCATTGAACTCTGGGTTCAGGGTCTTCCTGCAAACACTGGTCTTGAATTTAGATTTCTTCCCTGTATTTGGATGCAGGAAACTGATCGGGAGAATTGGTGGGTTAGGTGTGGCCCTGGAGAGGTGAGGAGCCACGGCCTCACCCTTACCTCCCGCCTGCCCGCCCCGTTCACACTCACAGGCGCACGAAGGGGTCTGAGTAACCGTTGGCATCCATGGGGGCTAGGTGGGCACAGCGCAGCACACCCACCAGCAGGCCGCCCCGCTGAGAGCTGTAGCACAGCGACAGCAGGACGCGCCCACGTTCCTCCCTGGCCACCTCTGTCTCCACCTCCTCCTGCAGGTGTAGGCTGAGGTCAGCCACCATCCAGCCCAGAGCCCACCCCCTTTAGCCTCTGCACTCTGGACGGGAAGCTCAACCTGGCCCCAAAGAAATCAGGGGTCAATGACTTCATTTCCCAATGCAGCCACTCGCCCAGCGCTCTGGAATTGGCACATGGGTCATCTGTACCCTCCAGGGCCTTGCTGACCATGTGACCAGGGAGCTCAGCATGTCTGTCATGGAGGGGAAGGGAACTGGCTGACTTGCCAGTAGCTCCCTAAGTGGCCTCCTATCCGGTGCCATAGCCACCCCTGCAGGCCCGCAGCTCTGGGAGGATGTTCACCTCCCAAGGAGAAGCAGATCTCTTCAATTCCCAAACCCCCCTTTTCACCCCACACTGCCCTGGGGACCAGAGCTGAGTGTCCTTTGCCACACTCTGAGCCCTGGTGCTTCTGAACAGGCTCAGGGAGGAAGCCTGGGGAAGACGCACTGCTCTCACTAGGGGGTGGGTTTCCATTTGCAGAGAGCCCCCCCACCTTGTTCACAGGCGGCTCTCGGGAACTCAGGAGTGCTCAGTGAGCACCCACCATGCTCCGGGCACTCTTGTGCTTGGGATCCGGGGTGGAGGTGGGGCTGGTGCTAGGTGAAGCGGCCCGTTCGGGCCACCTTGGTGGGCCTCAGCCACTTGGGCTTAGCTAATCAACAGCTACAGCAACTTGTGGTTCCACCAGGGGGCAGGCGCCCAGCACTTTGGAGAGGAGCTGGTAGGGGGCCCTGTTCTCAGCCTCCCAGCTGCCCCTCCCCTACCAAGCCATAAGAGTTCTGGCCAGGTCTTTCGACTCCAGTGATGTCAAAGAAAGCCCTGCAGTCACCCTCACTGCCTCCAGACAAGGGCCTGTCTAGGACAGCCTGCCCCAGGAGTGACCCCTACACTGCCCCCAGGGCCAGACCCTAGCCAGGGAGCCCCAGCTATCTGTCCTCTTTTCCACCTCGCCCAGCCTCCCATCTCGGGCCATGGACAAATGCCACAAATTTCAGCCTCAAGTTTGCCTGGGTCTCTCTGCCCAACTGTGCCCTGAGGCCTCTGCTTGTCCCAGTGCCCCATAGCTCCTCTGGGCCGCCCTGGCAAGGGAGTCACCCTCACTTTGCCACTGGGGGCCTGGGTGTCCCCTGGGGCAATGAGGGCTCACAGGGCCTGTGAGAGCTGACCTCAGGTTCCTCCAAGCCACTATTCCCCTGCCACCCCAGGCCTGCGCCCTCATCCCTGCTCAGCCCAGCTGTCCTACCCACCTGATAGAGGGACATGCCGCGGGCTGTGTCCAGGCTCTTGGGCCTCTTGGTCTGAAAGGGCAGAGAGCCCGGTCATCCTGGCCAGATGCTGCCCAGGTCCCCCTCCCTGCTCCTCCCCTGCAGATCCCCCATCACAAGGTTCCTGGCCCGTGCAGCCCCGCCCTGTGCTCCAGCCCCACTCACCAGCCTCCACTTCTCCAGACAGATGTTGAAGCTCCTGGCTTGGTTGGGCACCAGCTTCCTCAGGGGTACCCGCAGCTCCCCCAGGGGGGGTGACCGCCGCCGTCGCCGCAACCATGGGTCCTCACACACACATAGCCTGGTGGCCGCCCAGGTCAGAACTAGCCAGGACAGCCCCATCCCTCTGCCCCACCCCAGGTGGCCCATGCTGGATCCTCACCTAAGGGTCTTTTGTGCAGCATCCTGGCAGGAGAAGCCGTGATAGGTGAGTATCTCCTCCCAGACAGGTACTTTCGTGGCCTGAACGGTGCGTGTCTGAAGCTGGCCAGCCTAGGGCCCAAGCAGGGGGGTCAGGGCCTCTTAGGGCCAAGACTGTCCTCCAACTCCCAACCCTGCCTCCCTGATAGGACCCCCTATTTGCACATCCCAGCAACTGGGACCAGGCCTTGGGGGCAGGAGCCAAGCAGAGCCAGATGGGTGCCCCAGGCTGGACCTTCAGCCAGAGGGCAGCAGTGGGGGTCTGGGGCCTGCCCTCACCTTGCTGGCCCCTGGCAGCAGATTGGCTTTGACATAGGTGTCCATGGAGCCTGAGGCCAATGGCTTGAGGCCCTGGGAACAGACAATGGGTATGAGACAGGCCCGTGGCCCAGCCCTGTGTCCCAGGGATGCCCACTCCCATCCTCACCTTGGCACGATGAGCTGTGCAGTGCAGGGCACTGTTGTCCGCATCAAAAAGAAGTGTGAACTCCAGGATGCCCAGGGCAGCTAAGGGCAGGTGGCAGGCAGGGTCACCTCCTACCTCAGGTCAATCTGCCTCTGCCCATGGCACATGCCTCCTGCCTTGCCCTTCCATGGCCAGATGCCAGTGACACCCCAATCCCCAGCCTGACTGGGCTGAGCTCAGGGTGTCCCCCTCCTCCCACCCCTACTCACTGCTGTCGTCTGAGTCTCCCTCTGGCTCTGGGTCGGGCTGTGGCTGGGGTGTAGAGCGAATGGCAGACACCGCTGCGGCACGAGGGTCCGAAGGGTGCAGGACGGGCTCCGCAAAAGGGTAGAAGTGGGGGAAGTAGTGGGAGATGAGGTGGATGGGCCGGATGGGGCCCGGGCTCACGTCGATGGCCATGTGCTCCTGCATGCTCACCCGGCGAGGCTGCCCACCTTCTGCCGCAGTGCCCGCCATGGGGGCCTGGATGGGGTTTGGAGGCGCAGGGACTCAGAGAAATGCCTGAGGACTGGGGCTGAGGAGAACACACCTGGCCTCAGAGATGGGGACCTGAGGACAGACGCAGGGTTGGGGGAGAGGCCAGGGGAGTCCCCAGCCTGGAGGGTCGTGGCGGACTTTGGAGGGGACCCGGTGTGCGGGAAGTCATCCAGCTCCCAGTCCTTACCGCTCTTGGAGCTACTTCACCCGGTGTGGGTCACTGCTGCTGGCGCTGGGTGTGCGCTTTTGGGGGCAGAGCCCGTGACTGCCGTGTCCCCAGTGAGCAAGTGTGACCCAGAGCTCAGAACCCACCCAGAGCTCCTTCCTAGCGCTGAGGCTTAGCTTCCCTCCTTCCTCTGTCCCCTTCACACTTCGTCAAAGGGAGTTATTTTTACCACCATCATGTGGCCCTGCACACAGATGAGGAGGCTGGAGGGCCGGAGGTGACAGAGGGCTGTGGGGGTGATGAGGAGTTTGTGGGAAGGAGGGAGCACGTGGGGAGGAGGGGAAGGGGCACATGGGAAGGTGGGAGGGGAGGGCTGTCTGGAGAGGAGAGGAAGGGAGGCACAGGAAGGGGCCCCTGTGATCCAGCCCCGCGGTGGTGGCCAGTTTACACTCTGAAACATGAACCAGATCATCCCGCCTCCACCCTTGCTTGGAATAAAATCTGAACCCTTTGGTGAGGCACGGCCCCTTTTCACCTCACCAAGGAGTGTCCCCTGGCATCTCACAGTGAGGGCCTGCTCCCCTCCCAAACTGGGCCACCCTCCCAGCCTTTGACCTGGCCACTCCTGCCTTTGCTTTCTGGGTCAACCCCTGCAGGGGATCTTGGCTGGTTTTAACCATCCAGCATTCCCTCTCCTCTCTTCTCCCCAGTTACTCTTTAAATGTTTAATCCACATAACCGTAGATATTTATGGGGTACAATCTGTTCTGATGAGATATGTGTAGAAATGTGATTTCTACAATATGCATTGTAAAAAGATTCAGTCAGTCTAAAAAAAATAACAAAACAAAACAAAAAAACACTTGGCCAGGCATGGTGGCTCACGCCTGTAATCCCAGCACTTTGGGAGGCTGAGGCTGGTGGATTACGAGGTCAGGAGTTCGAGACCATCCTAGCTAACATGGTGAAACCCCGTCTCTACTAAAAATTCAAAAAATTAGCTGGATGTGGTGGTGCACACCTGTAATCCCAGCTACTTGGGAGGCTGAGGTGGGAGAATTGCTTGAACCCAGGAGGCGGAGGTTGCAGTGAACCGAGATTGCCCCATTGCACTCTAGCCTGGGCGACAGAGCGAGACTCCGTCTCAAAATAAAATAAATAACACTTAAAATGTACTCTTTTTTTTGAGACGGAGTTTCACTATGTTACCCAGGCTGGAGTGCAATGGCGCGATCTCGGCTCACCGCAACCTCCGCCTCCTGGGTTCAGGCAATTCTCCTGCCTCAGCCTCCTGAGTAGCTGGGATTACAGGCACGCACCACCATGCCCAGCTAATTTTTTGTATTTTTAGTAGAGACGGGGTTTCACTATGTTGACCAGGGTGGTCTCGATCTCTTGACCTCGTGATCCACCCGCCTCGGCCTCCCAAAGTGCTGGGATTACAGGCTTGAGCCACCGCGCCTGGCCTTAAAATGTACTCTTAAAGCGACTGTGAAATACACAAGGCGTTATCATTAGGGATGTTTGCCATGTAGTGCAGGTAGGACCTTCGCTTACTCTTCCTGACTGGAATTTTGTACCCTAAGAGCAACATCTCCCCTCTCCAGCCCCTCATAACCACCATTCTCGCTACTTCTAGTTCAACTTTTTCAGATTCCACATAAAAATGAGACCATCTGGTAATTGTCTTTCTGTGCCTCGCTTATTTCACTTAGCATATCGTCCTCTGGGTTCATCTGTGTTGTCACAAATGGCAGAATGTCCATTTTTGTTAAGGCTGGACAGTGTAGACAGACCATCTACCCATCCATCCGTCTGATGCTGGGCGGTTGGGTTACTGCCGTCTTAGCCATTGTGAATGGCACTGCAGTGAACATGGATGCAGACACCTCTTCAGCATGCTGACTTCAACTCCCCTGGATACTACCCAGAAGTGGGGTTGCTGGATCACATGGTCGTTCTATTTTTAGTGTTCTAAGGGACTGCCATACAATTTTCCAAAATGGCTGCACCCAGTTACCTTCCCACCGACAGCACATAAGGCTTCCCTCTCTCCGAATTCTCAGGAGCACTTATCTCCCGTGGATTTGGTAATAGCCTTTCTAACAGGCCTGAGGGGGTGTCTCATTGAGATTTTAACTTGCATTTCCTGCATGATTAGTGATGCTGAGCATTTTTTAATGTCTTCTTTTGGGAAATGTGTGTTCAGGCCCTTTGCCCGTGTTTAAATTGGGGTATTTGTTTCTTGTTATTGACTTGAATTCCTTATTTTGGATGTTAGCCCCTTATCAGGTGTATGATCTGCAAATATTCTCTCCCAGCCTGTAGGCTCTCTCTTCACTTTGTTACTTCTTTTGCTGTGTAGACGCTTTTTAGTCAGGTGCCATACCATTTGCCTATTTTTGTTTTTGATGCCTTTGCTTTTGGGGTCCTATCCAAGAATCATTGCCCAGAGCAATGTCTAGAACTTTCCCATATGTTTCCTCCAAGTAGTGTAGCCATTCCAGGGTTTTGTTTTGTTTTTTAATTTACGACAGGATCTCACTCTGTCACACAGGCTGGAGTGCAGTGGCATAATCTCAGCTCACTGCAACTTCTGCCTGCTGGGCTAAGTGATCCTCCCACCTCAGTTTTTTGAGTCGCTGGGACTGCAGGCATGCACCACCATGCCTGGCTAATTTTTTTTTTTTTTTTTTTTTTTTTGTATTTTTGTACAGATGGGGTTTCACTACGTTGCCCAGGCTGGTCTTGAACTCCTGAAGTCACGGTGACCCAGCTTGGCTTCCCGAAGTGCTGGGATTACAGGCATGAGCCATGGTGTCCAGCTCACTTCCGGTTTTATAGCCCATTTCGGGTTGATTTTTGTATAAGGTATGAACCTCAATTGTTCTTTGGGAACCACTGTTTCTCAGTCCAGGGAGTTTCCCCTCCTACCCAGGCAAGCATCCCAGACTATAAATCAATGTATTGTAAACCTAACTGGCCATGTGATAGGCTCAGGGAAGGACATGTGACTCAAGGCAGGCCAGTGAGGAGCAGTTCTGGGTTAGGCTGGCTGGGAAGGAGCAGCCATGTTTTTTGTTGACGGATGCTGCTGCCCTCTTCTCACCTCTCACACTCTGCACTAGAGACAACCCCCCAGGGCTGAGGCCAGCACAGCAAGAGGAGAGCCCTGAGCTCCTGGATCCAGCCCTACCTGAAGCTCGCCATGGCAAGTTCAGATCACCTACTCCCTCAACTCGTTCACAGAACCTGGTCTACCTAGTTGATGTATGATTCCACTACTACCTAGTTGATGTATAATTCCACTACTATCTGTGATTAAGTCATGTGGAATCACATGATTATCTGTGTTACCTGGTCTGAGGTCTCCCCCAGACTGAGCACCCCCTCTGGAGGGCAGGTCAGCGTCTGGCTGGTCCATAGCTGTGGCACACACAGCAACTGGCACACACAGGGGCTCTGCATGTTAGAGCTCCACAGTAACACCCAGCAGCATGTGTGCACCTACTCCTCCCTGGGATCGCGGAGCCCCGCACAGGGTCAGCCAAGCACAGCAGAGAGAACAGGAGCCGCAGGCTGAGACATGGGCAGTGCAGTACCTAAGAGCACTGGGCTGTGGAGTCTGGGGGCCCTTGAGCAAGATGTCTGTTCTCCCTGAATGCAGTCTCACCAGCCAGAGACAGTGCTGGCCCCACCTCACAGGCTGTTGTGAGGGTGAAATGAATTGACTCCAAGTACTTGGCACCCAGGAAGTGTCCACTGCTGTGGGAAATGGCCTAACTGGAAGGAAGAGCCCCAACCAGCAGCCTGGAGTGGTCTGCCCAAGGTCCAAGGCCCCAGTACAGCAGAAGCAGGAGCTCTAGAGCTGTCAAAGGCCTTTATTCAGTCCTGGAGTGGAGCTGGCCTGACGGGATGAAGCCAGGGGCTCAAAGCCCCTGGGTTGCCCAGGGCCGGCCAGGCGGGGCTGGTAGGTACCAGGTGCCAGCAGTTGCAGGGCAAACTCAGTGATGATAGCTGTGAGGCCCCAGACCCGGTGTGGTCCATGCAGGAAGACGGGTAGCGTGTAGCAGAAGTGGCCGCCCTGGCAGAAGTGGGTATAGCCCTGATTCTGCGTCTGCAGCAGGTGGGCCAGTGGCAGTGCGAACACCTCATCCACCTGCAGGCAGGAAGCAGAGACGGTAGACAGAGAACTGGAACCACCCAGCCACATCCCCCAGCTCACCTCCTCAGAGTTGGGCCTGAGGCTCTGGGGATCCAGTGGGCCCACACCGGCAAGCACTGGCACCACAGTGGCCTTTTGCTGGGGAAGAGGGCAGGTAGTCAGAAAGGCATGGCTTCAGCTGGGTTTGAAGGCTGGCGAGGGGCGTGTAAGAGGAAGACCCTCTTTGCCAAGCACAGGCCTTTGGTAGTCATGTTCGGGTCCACCCGTGTCCTCCAGCCATGTCGGCTGACTCGGGTCCCCTCAAATGCACTGGACCCGTTCCCTCTGCTTAGGACAATCTCCCACTTCGCATTCAAGCCTTGATTCAATCCCTGCCCACTCCACAAAGGTTCCCTGACTCTAATCCACCAAGCTGGGTGGAGCTGGCATACCCCATCACCCTGGGCCACCTCTACTCAGGACACCAGAGCCTCCCCAGTCCCTTCCTGAGGGGGTGCGTCGGGTGGCGCATATGACCAGGCAGGTTTGGGGCACCCCTCCACACTACACCTGTACGGTGTCCATGACCATTCTGGTCTCTGGGGGCCCAGCTCCAGGGCAGCCATAGAATGAGTGGGGTGGGGTGGCCTCAGCCAGGTGGCTCACCCGATCATACACAGGCCGCAGCAGGCCCCACACGTGCTCCTGAGGCACTGCCAGGCCCAGCTCCTCCTGGGTTTCCCGCAGGGCCGTGTGCACCACGTCTTGGTCAGCTGGGTCGCACTTGCCACCTGGGAAACTAAACAGACACAGGGAGTCTGGTCCTTGGACTCTTGGGGCCATGGCGAGGTCGGGGTGTCGGCAGTGCAGGGGGCCAGTGGCCCACCGAGGCATCGCCTGCCTCTGTCCCTAATTTGCTGGGAGGCCCCAGGCAAGCCGCCCGACCTCTGGAGACCAGTTTACCTCCCTGAGCAATGGGGATAAGGGAGAGAGGCCAGCACAGGATAGGGGGGTCTGCAGCAAGTGCAAGAAGATCCTGGGGCTCAGATAACCAAATTCAGCCTATAGTGGCCCCCGTAGCGGGGCCCAAACCTCTCTGTAGTCGCCGGCAGGGGTCGGCGTTCTCCTTAGCAGAAAACAGCTCCGAGGGGTGTCCCGGGCCGAGGCGGGCGCGCTGGGAGGAGCGTGAGGGGCGCCGGCGCCAGGTTTAGTGCGCGGGAGCCGAGGGACGCGGATCGCTGACCCCTTGCCGCAGCCAGTGGTCGGAGGGGCTCTCCCCAGACCCATTTTACGGAAGCGCAAACCGAGGCTCGCAGGGACTAAGTGCCCTGCCCGAGGTCCCTGCCATCCCCGGGCTCCGGAGGCCTCTGGCAGAAGGGCGGGGAGTTCCCGGCCGCTGTACCTGACGTCGCCCTGGTGTCTCCCGGTCAGGCGGCTGGACCGCAGAGTGTACAGCAGCGCCGGGACCCCGCGCACTGAGCAGAGCGGCACGAGCACTGCGGCCGACGCAGGCCGCGCGCGGAGCCGGGCCGTGGCAGTCGCCAGCAGCCGGCGGCAGCGCAGCTCGCCCTCGGCCGAAAGGCAGTCAGGCAGCATGTATAGTCCTGCGCGCCCCGGACACCTAGAGCGCGGGGTCGGGCGAGGGCAGCCGAGGGACGGGGCGGGACGAGGAAAGGGACGGGGCGGGCAGAGGGGGCGCGCTCAGCCCGGGTCGCTGGGCAGCAGGATGGGGAGCCGACCCAAAGCGTCCAGCCCTGGAGTGCTCAGCAGCTGCGGAGGCGTGGGCGGGGCCTCGGCAGGACGTGACCTGTGGGCGGGGCCTGTCCGGAGGCGTGGAGGGGGGGGAAGTCTGTCCGGGGGCGGGGCCTGTTTGAAGGCGGGGCCTCGGTGGGTCGCGTTGAAGCCCCTAGATGGGAGGGAGGGCGGCGGGGAGGGGCCTGCGCGGGAGCCGGACCGGGAAGTTACTGTGAGAGGGCGGGGCCTGGATCGGAGCTTTCGCTCCGAAGGACTGGGGGGCGCGAGGGGGTGCGGCTTCCGGGGGCGTGGCCGGAAAGTCTTCGCCAGGCGTACTAGGCTTCCGGCAGGGATGGGCCGGGGGCGTGGCCTCCTGGGGACGGTGGGCGTGGGCTGGGAGGACCCGTCGGGTGTGTCCTCCGAGCTCCTGGAGCAGCGGGAAGCGTGAAACGCCCGGCGACTGGCCTCGCCCCCACTGCCCCTTGGGTCCTGGCGTTGGGTGTCTGCTGTTGAGGCTCCGCGGCCCCCGCAGGTCCGTCCCTCCCCTAGGGACTCCGGGATGTACGGAGCCGGGATCCCACGGGGACGCCACTCCAGGAACCCGAGGTCAATGGGGCGCGGGAGGAGCGTCCGGCCGGGCCCTCCCTCCTGTCCTTCCTCTGGGAGGAGACAAGACTCCTCGCGCCGCCCCTAGTCTTGTCTTCCCTTCAGGCTCCGTCGGACTCCAGCCCCAGGCCTTTGACCTCCTTGTCTCACCATCCGCCCCTCTTCTCCCTTCCTGCCTTGAGTGTTGATCGGATTCTCAAATCCCTCTCTCGTCCCCACCTTGGCCCCTGTAGTCATATGACTACGTGGTTCTGCACTCTTCTGCCAGACCCCGGGCTTGGGGAGCAGATGACCCCAGCCTTGCACACAGCATTCAAACGCGGGGTGGAGGGTGTCAGCCATGCTCTGCTGTGTGACCTTGAGCAGGTCACGCGCCCTTCTGAGCTGCAGTTTCGATCCTCATCTGGGCCAGCGCAGCCCTGCCACTGGGTTGGAGTCACCACTTTTAACATCTCAGGGAAGCGGACGGCACCGGGTAGAGCTTCAGGATGCCTGCAGGGCTGATGAGGGCACTGTGTGGGTCTGGGAGTTCCTGAGGCCCCCACCCTGATCACGAGGACGGAAGTGCTCCAACCACTCATGCCAGATAGTTTAATGTTGGGGGAAAGGGAGAGGTAAAGCAGGGTTTTCAGGGGTTACCCCCAAAGCAAGAGGGCACAGAATTCGGGCTGCTTGGGTTGGGAGGTGGAAGGCCCAGCCTTCCTGTGACCCTGGACAGGTAGCCTTCTCTAGATTTTCACCTGCCCTGCTCCCCTTGAGACAGAGGTGAGGCTGGAGGAGGTAAGGCAGAGGCTGATTCCCACACTAGGTGTGAGGTCCAGGGTAGCAAGGCTTCCGCACGGGGCCTCTGCCATCACTGGGAGTCCTGGCCCGGCCCTAGGCACACCGCAGTGGGGGACAGGAGCCCCAGCCCAGCTGGCAGAGGCAGGCCTCCTTGATCCCTATTGACCCGGATGTTGGGGAGGGGGTATGGTGCCGGTCGGGTCCTTGGGATCCCCAGGTGGCTTGGGGCTCCAGAGTACAGGCTCTGATAGGTGATGGGCCTGTAGGTGGCCGGGGCCAGCAAGGCCTCAGGTGGGGGCAGCAGCTGTTGGTGGAGCTGAACAGGGGTCTTGGAGGCAGAAGCTGAAGCTTCATTGGGGTCTAAAGGAGGAAATGGTCTAAGGGAGGAAATGGCCTGAGTGGACCCTGGGCCCCACATCACATCCTCAGCCCTCATCCCAGGCCTGCCCTGGTCCCTCCTGCTCCTCCTATCCCAAGTTACCTGCCTCTCAGTCTTTGCCATTGTTTTTCCCTCTTCCTGGAATTTCTTTTTCCGAGTTCTCCCTCAGTCCAAACCCTTCCCAGTTCTCCAAAGCCCAGCTTGGTAGCCACCTCCTGCAGGAAGCCTGCCTGGCACCCCCTGCCTGTGTTGTCTGCCCTGAGCCCCATATTGTCTTAGGCATCTCCGCCTTCCCCTCTGTGTGTCCACACAGGGACCCTGTGGGTTTGCTGAGCTGCTGAAGCCCCTTCCTGGAGGTCCTGTCCCTTTGCCTCCCGCCCCTTGTGTCCGCCTTAGTCTCACTGTGTCTGCAGGCCTAGGGCCTTACCTTTCTCCCTCTCTGTGGCGCCCTTCAGCAAACAGGGACTGAGGCTGCTGTGACTCCGGGCTGGGACACTGAGCAGGGGCCGTGAGGCTACAGGCCTGAAGATGGGCAAACAGGAATGGGGGAAGGGGGTCAAGGGGAAGAACCCCGGCCGGGGATCATGGCCAGATTGAGAGGGTGGGGGCTCGGGATGAGTGAGAGGGTGTGATCCTGGAACAAGGGCCAGGAACCAAGGCCTTAGGCTGTGCCTGGGGTGGGGTCAAGGGGCTAGGGTCAGGGTCAGACAGTACCAGGAGTCGGGGTCACTCTCTCTAAAGCCCTTGGCAAAAGGATTGCTGGCGATTTTCAGCTGGGTGATCTGCAGGAGAGAAAGCGCAGTTGTGGGCTGGCCCTGTGTCGTGTGGGGTGGCTCAGCCACCGTGTCCTCCCAGGACTCCTCAGTTGGGAGGCCCTGGCACCTGGGCTCCTTGGGCCAGGAACTCAGCTGATAGGAGTGCAGGCGGGGCCTTGACTGAGGACAGATGCTCAGGGTGCATGGGGAGGGCGGGAGTCTGTGCCCCTGAGGGCTGCGAGCCTCAGGGCTTGGTCTCCTAACTTGTGAAACAGGACTGCAACAGGTGCTCCCGAACCAGCCCACCCACCCTGTGGTTCTGATACGCCGTCACAGCTGTGAACTGGGTCTCCGTGAAGATGAAGGACTTGAAGTTCTCCTGGGCATAGCGTTCACTGTCCTTGCGTGGATCCACAAAGACCACGTGGAAACGGGGCTGGTAGCGGTGCATGGAGTTGAGAATGATCTATGGAAGGGACAGAGCAGAAGTGCAGGGGTGAGGTGGGGTGAGGTGAGTCGCAGCAGACTTCCTGAGTCTGGAGTCCTTCCCTCCAAGCCAGGAGCCTGCCCCGGGCCTGCTACCCTGTTGGTTTGGTGGCGGTGCAGGGTCTAAGCTGGAGAGGCTGTAGTTCTGTGTCAAAGGTCCCTGATGTCTCAGGATCCTTGTGGCCGCGTCCTCTGACGTCCCACATTCCAGCTGCCACCCGGCCCACCTCAATCACGCTCACCCATTTCCTCCGTTGCCTCCTGGCCAGTCCCCTGTCCCTACCTTACCCCACTGTTCTGTCTCCACACAGCTGCCCAGGAAGCCACATCACATAGCCCCTGCTCCTAAACTTCCAACGGCTTCCACCCCATGCGGTAAAAGCCACAGCCCCCAGCAGTCAGCCCCAGCCCGTGGGTAACCCCCAACATGGGCACCGAGGAAGGAGAGCGGTGCAAACCCCAGGCACAATCAGTGCCTGAAGAATATCTTAGTTTATAGTGTTATTGCTCAGCTATTTCCTTTACATAATCCTTTATATACAATCATATATTACTTTATAGAATTAGTACCTGAAGTATAACTTACTGCTTACGTCTATCTAGCTTATATAATTATACTTAGTACTTATATCTAACATACTTAGTTCCATGTAGTCTTTCTATATAATCACATAGGTATTGCAGTCGGAGCTGTACTGACACATTTAGTGCTGATTTATAGAATCCTTCCATATAACCGTATAGTAGTCTGTAGTAGGCGGAATGCCTAGAGCAGTCACAGCACAGAAGCAGCACATGGGAAAACAGCTGGACCAGAAGGAGAACCAAGACCCAGGAAGTAGCATCCCAGCCTGAAAGGGCATACTCTGTATGGCAGGCTTGGAGCAAGTGTCTCTCCTCCCGATAGAGGAGTTGTAGTACCTTGCATCCAGCTCCTGTGGAAAGTCGGCCTCGGGCCTGAGATCCCGCAGATAACTAGGGAGAAGAACCCCTCTGTGTGACCAGTCAGGGCGGCTGTGAACCCTGTCAGTCTTTCCTCACTTCTGTGCTGGCTCAAATCATCCTCCCGTAAATATCTTAAGAGAAGAGCACAAGTCTGCCAGCTCCCACTGCATTGGCTTACAGTATTCTATTAGAAATCCTTTGAAGTCTCCAGCCCCCAGATAAGACGCGTTGCGTGTGACACTTGTTGCACATAGCCCACCTCCTTGCCTCAGTGACCTAATGGGGGTGGACCCCTTTTCTGTACACGGCCTCCTACTGCACACGGCCCAATGTGGGGCTGTTGGCCCCACAGGGTCATGGGGTGTCCCTTATGCTGTGCTGAGGTGCAGGGTCCGAGAAGTAAAGAGACCGGACACTGAAGAACTGGAGAAGAGCAGCTGGACTCAGGGGCCACACCACCTACGAGCGGAGACAGGTGAGGCCCCGGATGTCCAGAAGCGTCTGTATTTATTAGGTATAAGCAGGGGACGGGGTCATTAGTGAGGTCATCATCTATAGGCTTAGTGATAGGGCATACATTATCACGTGAGTCACAAGTGAGGGGGCCGACCCATTATGTCCCCTGGGCAGAGAGGTGGGCCGTGCGCAGTGGGGGGCCGGGCCATGTGCAGTAGTAGAGGGTCAGGTACAGAAAAGGGGTCCACCCCCATTAGGTCACCGAGGCAAGGAGGTGGGCTGTAACAGGTGTCCCGCGCAACACTTCTTATCTGGGGGCTGGAGACTTCAAAGGGTTTCTAATAGAAGGATACTGTAAGCCAATGCAGTGGGAGCTGGCAGACTTGTGCTCTTCTCTAAGATATTTACGGGAGGATGATTTGCGCTATCACAGAAGTGAGGAAAGACTGACAGGGTGCACAGCCACCGTGACTGGTCACACAGAGGGGTTCTTCTCCCTAGTTATCTGCGGGATCTCAGGCCCGAGGCCTACTTTCCGCAGGAACTGGATGCAGGGTGCTACAACTCCTTTATCGGGAGGAGAGGCTCTTGCTCCAAGCCTGCCATACAGAGAGTGCCCTTTCAGGCAGGGACGCCACCGCCTGGGTCTTTGGTTCTTGTCCTGGTCTGGCTGTTTTCCCATGTACTGCTTCTGTGCTGTGACTGCTCTAGGCATTCCTCCTACTACAAACTACTATATGGTTCTATGGAAGGATTCTATAAATCAGCACTAAATGTGTCGGTACAGCTCCGACTGCAATACC